TGTATCTGTGAAAACAACCGGTACCTAGCTTCAGATGTCTCAGATATGACGGCAGGAGAAAAATGATACTCAGATGTCATCATGGTGGAACAAAGCCAGACAACTTACAGACTGAATTTCCGACGATAACACAACACAAGTGTGTCTTGCGCACCAAACAAACTGACATTTCCATCTGCAAGCGACGGTTTCCACAAGTGATAGGCTGTAATCATAGCACACCTAACTCAAAGAACAGAAACCACCACAAGTGAGATAGAGTATTCCAAGCAAAAGGATCTTTGCGCGCCTCGGAACAGACATCAAGTGTAAGGTTAATTTTAAATCGTGAGCATTCGAATCTATACTCTATCGGGACTTTCGCACAGTATACGTAAGTAGACAGAGATAAGCCCGTTGTGAGGCTATGAAGGCGGTCACTGAGGGTAGCTACTGAGCCCTTGTGGACAACCTGATTTCCACATAGGTCTCCTGTAACAAAGCCTAGCAACAAACGCGGGTGGACGAATCCCACCTGATCAGCGTTCAGATGAGCATGAGGATATTAATAGGCTATATAAAATTAAGAAAATGCCTGCGTGACATGAGGGCAATATTACCGGGAACCTCACTGTCTTTTCGAGGACGAACGAAGGTCTCGTCAACTAGGGTGACTAGCTTACGTGGGCTGGATAAGCGAACATAGGATACCAAGCGATCAGGTATAAACTGGGATATAATAGCTAAATGTGCGAGTTAGGCCTGAAACCTCTAGGAAATACGTGGATGGTGCTTACTGAACTGCTCATACAGTCAAAGTGAGAAACACATTCACAAAGATGGATATCATACAACATGAAGCCAAAAAACAACGACCACAGACCGATTGAAATTTGAATGCTGAGCTACAAAACACTATCTTCTGGCGCAGCGTCACAAACATCCACGACGATCAACACAAGAGGCTATCCTGGCATTGCCGCTAAACAATATGAACCTGAAGAGATTTACACAACAAACATCTAAATACTAATAGGCATGATCGAAGACAAGATGAAATGATAGTCTTCTGTGACGGTACCTGCGATGTCAGCATTCTGTCATCAATCTGAAACCAATTACTTGGCGACCGCGCGTCCAGCAATCAAATCAGGTGAAATAAAATTGCACTAGTTTGCGTACCTAAACTGGACCAAACAGCCTACTATGGAACATGTTAATTGGGTCAATATCAACGTCAGACTGAAACGAATCCTGGAAAAATCGACCTATCGATGAGCCTCCCATTCCACAGATATTTTGGCACCTCATAGTTGATGGTTTGTGGAGCCCTGAGGAACAAGGATGTGACGGTTAAGCGTTAGAATCCGCTGACACAACTGAGGCTGACGATTGTGAAGATGATACCGATGATGGTCGTGGCGAAGATTATCATTAAGAAGATAGAGGACGTAGAGAAGGGCCAGTGAATAAAAAACACTGAGGCAGGTTAACGTAGACTGAGGAATCATTTATTCGAGTTTCACTACTTTCATGTTGCCCGGAGGCCAGCTGTCCCTAATAACCGAACATCACATCATTTGGACGGATGTGTCACGTGCAGGACACGGATCAAACAAAGTCATGCCTTGATTGGCCAGAATATCGGCCAATCCGGATCGAGCACCACCGAACATCCATCATTTGGACGGATGTGTCACGTGCAGGACACGGATCAAACAAAGTCATGCCTTGATTGGCCAGAATATCGGCCAATCCGGATCGAGCACCTTTGACTTGACGCTTCTCGCCCCCTCACGGAAATTCTAGCACGACCTTGTGGAATACTCTGTGATTACCCTATAAATATAGTTGTAATAATTTCGCTTTGTCTCCGTAAAGCGCTGGGTAGAGCTACCGTCCCTTTTGATATAATATAGAGGGCGGAGCAGGAAGCCAAGGGACCAACACAGAGTTGCACTACCGTTCAGCAACATGTCCTACGCTAGCGGATACAAACAAGTTTCATAATGACAAAGGACGATCTGAAATTCACTGAAGACGGTTCCCTAAACTGAACCGATTGGCGACTCAACTAGCACCAGATAACCGAAGGTGCCAGTACAGAAACCCGAAACACTGTCAGGTCTAAGCCCAGCCGATAGAGATTCAACAACCAGAACGACAGACACATCTCTTACTACGACATGGATAAGGAAGCGGTAACCATAGAAGGTTACATAAAGCTTTTGTAGGAAGTTTGTTGGGAATTACTGTGATCACTCGGCATTTCGACCAATGGCTGTTCAAACCGATGCACGTTGGTATATTTCACACGCTAAGGAACTCCGTATTAGTTAATGTGTGTTCAGAATTTCAGCGCCCAGATCTAGTTTAGCTCGTCCTATGGATGCCTCTTGGTAGCAATCCAGAAGGGCGCATCCACCTTTAATATGTAGACGAAAATTGGGGAACCCAGTTAGACTGCGAGATGTTTACAGTGTGCAATCCACAGATGTTGAGGAAATCACTCGTATTGAATCATTAGAAAGTCCTCTGTCGAGTAGGTTTATCCAACTGCGGCGGAGCAGTATTGGTTGACCGCGCCCGTCATAATTCCGGTTACTGAAACTTGTCGTTTTCCTGTTGTACCCTCAAAGTCGACGACTTCAGAACCTTAAGTAGCAAAGTAATCCAGTTAATTCAGACATAAACAGTGATTACGGTGATCAGTGCAAGTTACCACAATCGGATGGAATCACAGTGTGATTTTCTGCTGGCCAATACAAACAGATCAAGTAAATTGGCTCCGATAAGTACAAACTCCTTGCATCTAATACTTGAAAGAGATGAAGTAAAGCGATCATTTACAACAGCAGGTACTCGAAGAAACGGTCATACAAGGAGACACCTTTTCGTATTATCTACGAAAACACCTAGTAAAGTGCATCATTGTGTGCGGCGCTGAGCACCCACACATTTGCCTACTTTGTCTTTCTAGTTGAATGTGAGTCAGAACACTACCCGCTAGAACGACGACCCATGGGGCAATCGTACGTCACAGATCGATGAAAATTCTCAGTACACGGGCTGTGTAGCAGATGAACATCAGTTAACAGCGACAAATTAGTCTTTACAGGAAGCGATATTTCCTTTGGGAGCACGCGGGTATTAGCAGGTAAGCATAGTTAAACATCGGTACTGTTGAAATACAACTGCATATCAAACATACTACCAATTAACTGCTCGTGACTCCAAAGTATACTGCAAATTTTATGACTAACTCCCATTTAGGATAGCATTCAAATACTGGCAGATTATACTAAACAAGGCAGAATCGAAAATCCAAACCACAAAATACTTTCACAAGGAAAAAAACAGCTGCCATTTGTAAACAAAATTGCCATAGCCGTCCTGTTTCAGTCACGCACAGCAGCCATGTGAAGTATGGGTGTGTGTGTGTGTGCTGAATATTTTGTCATAAGGACGGACTGACAAAAAAGATGCGTCGATCAACCCGAAATTCAATGTTTATATGGGCCAGCCGACAAGAAAAAAGGCCGATTACGAGTGAAAAAGAACAACAAATTTCGCTGTCTGAGCAAACACTACTATGGTACACTAGTCAGTCAATTTTGAGCGTAACACCCACTGCATATTTCTGGATTTCCAAAAAAAAAGTTAAAAAAGCGACCAGATGATCTTAGCAGAACACGTATTCGTTGCATGCATTAGGCACCTGATCACAGCCATAAGAGCGGCAGACCAATACCAGAAACGTAGGGCATACAAATAAAATGGGAATCAAGACATTTCGCTCAATGAATGTAGACAAGGATGTGAAAAAGTCTGGGAATTGGCGTTTAGTTGTTGAAGTCCATGCGTACGAATAGGATGACCAACAGTTGCTCTCGTGGGTTTGGATAGGATGCTGTCTTCCACACACCCGGTGATGTAGAGTCTACGTCAAAAAATATCTTCTAGGTAATTCGCAGGGAAAGTTGTGGGGAAACGGAATCCCGACGCTGTTTATCTTAGGGACTATGTAGGTTGACGCACACCCGAAGATTACACATATTGTGTCTCTTTAGTGTAACACAGACAGATGGTAGTCCTGAAGTGAACTAGTCGGACACGTTACTGAACCTCCATAAATATGTCCGGCTGTTATCGATAGACCTAGTTCACACTCGTTAGGAACACTCCGTATTTTACACCTGGTCGTTTCTTCATACGCCGTAATGGATGCATAGCTTTGGTGCGTTGATTTACAGCTGATTTACAACCGATTGTTTGATCAATGCACATGTTTGATTGCTACGTAACTGACTGGAAAAAGCAGTCATGAGAATTCCGATAAAGGTGCACAGTGCGGGTATGTCGACCTCAAAAAGAATGTAGTAGAGCATCAATGAGGGGTTTTGGTTGAGTGAATGCAACGATGCGTCACTTCACAGTGAACAGCGTGAATGCGTCGCCCCTTTCAGTCCGGATTAGAACATCAAAAACTTAAATCTGTGTGAGGCCATGTGGAAAACTAAGGACAACCAGGGTCCACAACCACTGCGGATCAGTAGGGAGCTGAATATCGCATGAATTCCAAATTTTTAAAACTAGAAAACCCCAGTCAACTCAACGATCGCCTCCGGTGTACTGCATTTTCGAAAAAAAGTGATCTAAAGACTGTAAAGCTTAACAAACATCAGAATGACCGAGTAAAACGACAAGAATCACAACTCCAAGAGCAATCCGAACACACCGAGGATGACGGCATTGTACCAGATCGCGCAAGTGAAACGTATGCCTCTATTTTTAAAAATTTGTGACCTGTCCCAGAATACGGCAGCTACCCAAGCTGTTCTTAGGGCAAGTGACAAACGTACTTGATAAGTATATTGTAAGGTAACTGTTGAAGAACCAAAGACATACCGCGGCATCAATCAACCACTGAACAGTTCGGTACGGTCAGCTACACATAACAAGGCGAAAATAACCGTCAGCTGAGTCAAAAATGAAATCACGCATTGTGATGTGCACCTCACCTGATGTGTTAGCGCAGACTCCGTCCGTTTTGGCTGTTCGACAAACAACCGATTTTCGTAAGATTGCAGAGACGATTTCCCAATAACTCCCTCACTAGCTGTTGGCACCGAAGAAAGCGCAGCAATTTGACGTTCTCCGCTATTCGATCGAGGCTTGCTTACAGCTTGTTGCGACGTTGATTTGAGAGATGAACTGAAGGGGACCGCACGGCCAACACTAGACGTTGTGGTTGGGTTAATGGATTTGATTAAATTACTGGAAGAGGCAACCGTCGGCTGAATACAGGCTTTCGATTCTCGGTTTGAGAGTGGTGTGCATTGTTGAGTTTTGTCAAAAGCAGGTGTCAAACGAGAGATGCCGAATCCGAGTTGTCGAGTCATTTTCAAATCCCAAGCCTCTTCATAGGTAGGATGCGCATCGGAAGTGCGCGAACGAACAGTTAAATTGTTCGCTGACAGTTCGGTTTGTGGATAAGAGTTTTCGCCAACTGTGTAGTCTGTTGCCACTGCAACGAAAAACAGGCAAGGGATTTAGTAGAAGAAGAAACAACGTAGAAGGGCGAAAAATTCGTGAAAAGAATACAGTTGGCAACTTCATTTAATTTGCTCCGCAAAAACTGCTCAACCAATAAAGCGAAGGAATTTAGGATTACAGCGCCTTCCAGAGCCTTAATTTTTTTTCAATTCAAACACGGCCTGATAACTAATCTGATGTACCGCGTTGTCCCAGCAACGGCTGGACTGGAACAGGCGATGAAGTGGCCGCCTGATATAGCAGTCTTTCCACCCAACACCTGAAGCGAGGCGTCTTACTGCCGACAGTGTGTACTAAACAGAACGCAAACCAATGGGTTACCCCATACTTACTCGTTACATCTGTCGAATCGAGGATACAAAACTAGAAGATTAGAGCCGTTTGTGAAAACCTGTTAATCTAATTCCTATTTGTTGAGTTATATCGGGGAGGATAGGGTAGTATTCAGTCATTGAACAAGTACCAGGGCTGCTAAAATTAAAACCCAAGGTAGACTCAAGAACCCCAGTACTTCCACACATGCAGCTGGAGCTTCGTAGCCGGTGATGACAATTGTTAACCCTCAATCCTAAGTGATAGTGCATTGGGAGTGGCACTCATTTCGCCTTGCTTCAGGTCCGAAGCCGATCTATCACGAATCATGCAGGAGTGAATTTCAGATTACTCACGGATACCTGGTGGCATCATCATCAGAAACAGCGACAGACTACTAGTCTACTAATGTGCGTGAGCTACAAAAAAAACAAAATCGTTGGAAAATGGTGGGAACGTTTCGCTTATCACACAAAACAGCGCCCAAATGACAAGCCAGTGTGGAAGCATCCACTAATGAAGATAAATCGACATCCACTCCAATAGGTAGAAGATTTTAGAGGAAGAACTACCTCATTATCTTCAGTTTAACCCGCATTTTTTTATTAACTGCGTTTAATTAGAACCACGGTCTATCGAATGAGAGCTCCTCGATGCTTACAAAGTATGAGTGCATCAACTTAAATCAAAATGCCATTAAGTTAAGGCAACTTATACATCAATACTGCTTCAGGACGGTGGTACAGCTACTTATAGTTCTGAAAACTAAGGATGAGGATGAACGTCGGATAGAAGTTGGATTACTTTCATACGAAGTCCAACATAAATGTTACCCTCACTTTGCGGTGCTTCCGATCCCGATGTGGAGACAATCTGAGAAGAGGAAGATCCTATAGTACCCAAAGTAGATTGAAATACGCAAGGCTGTTCAGTGTTTCCGGAAATCGGTTCAATCAAAGACGGAATGCTTTCGGACGGAGAGGGTGATGAATGCAACTTCGAAATATCCACACTTGAGTCAGATTTCGGTTCACCGGTTGGGACACGAGGCACGCGAGCAAATGGACTGGTTGGGTGATGTACAATCACAGAGTTGCCCCGTGGTCCGTCGACAAATCCAGCTACGTAAATGGAGAGAAAACAAACAAAATGTAGGATTTCATACGAGTTCCAAAAGACACAGGCATGTGGTCCGGTTTCTCAAAATCATACCAAGTTTTAATTAAGAGAAATAAGACTACGCACATAAGGCCAGTGGAGGGTGCCATTGGTTAAATACATCGAGCTGTTGTACATCACGCAGAGTAGTAGCTAGAATGGGAATCCATTGGATGAAGTCTCAGTCCTATAGTCCTGCTCACCGTATACAACGGTAGCACCCCACTAATTTCAGACGGTGATAGAATCGCACCATCCCTAAACATTACGGGAAGCAAATGAAACATCACACTGACTAGACAATCGCTTTAAGACCAAAAAAATGCTGTGAGAACACAAACTACCCCTGTTGTAGCCCAAAACTTCCGTTAGATGTTAGGGGAGTTTGCACATCCATCAAAATTCCTGAGTCGAGAAGACTCTGGAGAAATGGAGTAAACTGTGCTCCAAGAAAGCTGATTTGATCCTGATCCGCATGATTTGTTTCGTGTTGACCTTCCGGTTGAATTCCACAATAAATGCGTCATCCTTGCCATGTGTACTAATTGCAGACGGTTGTCGTACAAATGTTCGTCTTGAACTCTCTTCAGAAAGCGTCAGCTGGTTAATCTTGGAATTCAAGCCCCGTTCAAGAAACAGCAAAACTCAAACCTGACAAACACAGGACAATCGCTCAGACTAAGGAGTGGAACCTGAAAAATCGAATGACCGCTGCCCTTTTAAACTTGTTTGACAGTGTGATGTTATTAGGTTTAAATTCCAGCTAAATGGCTCACTGGGAATTGCGCTCTACACCGAATAACCTAGCATATGTTTTGCATTCGATCACTTCATCACTCGACGGAACTAGCCCACAAAGTAGGTTCACTATTGTCAGACTACACAAATGTTTTTGGTGGTCACCCAATAACCGCGACTGTTCGCCGTCACCAACCCAAACAGGTGCCCTATAAGCCGGTATATTGCCCCGTTCTTCATCGCCTACTACATTCGTTATCCTCCTATCCCCATGAGATTTACTGTTCTCCTGTCATGTTCCGGGACGTGGGCGAGATAGTTTACTGCCTCACGTCGTTGCAACACATCTCTAATTGCGGTGCAATTTACATGGGTGTCTTGACTTCATGGTTAGCAAACACTTAGACGCTCATCATAGCCATTCTTAAGAAACAAAATCAGACGGTTAAGCAAAATCAATACACGGGTGTCACTTCCCAGTCTCATTTTTCCAAAGTTCGAAGCCGTTTTGTCGAACGAAAAGGCTCCCTCAGTGAAGTTTCAGAATCGGCTGAACGATTGGCTTGTCCAACAGACTGGCAATACAATCTGGATACGATTAGTCAAGTTGTACATCCCTTAGTAAGGGACACCCCATCAATAGGTAATCGCTGGCACAGAACTGTCTTTAATCAAATGTAGCAACTTTACCGCTAAAAGCAGCAGTTCTCTACAACTTTCCATGTTAAAGTTGCCGAAAATCACGTACTGTGGACTTAGATACGGTAAAGACTTGGTGGAACGGTGACAAACCATAGGCATTCACGTGGACTTGTATTCCTACCCTGCCCAGAAAACCCTTAGTTGAGAAAATGTGAAATTCGAAATGACTTGTATAGCCTTGATGGGATACGCTACCCATGAGGTTACTGGACAACCGTAGACGATCCCAGAGTTTCCGTCTACTTGAACTAACATTCTATGTAACTCGTGAAATACATTCAATTGTGCTTCAATTTAGTTTAGACGGGAGACTCAACTGAATCGCAGCTGAATTACTCGGTTGTGATATTTTTTAACTGGATGTACTGCAATGTTCCGCTATATATACTAATCTTCCGCTTATAACGGTATCCCAAATACTGCAGTATATTTCCTAGATGGAACACACTACTCATTAGGCTATTGAGAACTCTTCAACAGCTCACGACACCAACATGATCTTCAAATGTATATATTTCCCCACTAATTGTATAACACTTGTAAAATGGAGGTCTACTTTAGTGGGTATTAACCCATGATGGTTTTTCGCGACAGAGTATTGCAGTCGACGAATTAAAACATACGAGTTGATTACAACAAAGGGAAGAGTATAACAGACAGCAGCTCGAGGTTGAACAAGCGATCGCCAGAGGCGGATATGAATGAGGGATTCGGCCGAATTCAGTTTCCCGAATTCGTGTGCAACTGGGAGTATTCGGCGAATTCCGTCCAATTTGGGTTCAAGCAAAACATAAGGCCGACGGAAACTCACGGACTGCGCATACCTAATGAGCCCCACGAAGGACGAAGCCGGTCGAAGAGTGTCGAAGGGTTTGCAACACTTGATGAGTAGTGTGTTGCTTCTAAACAAACTACTCTGAAGCCCCCAAAACTATAGGAAGGTCGTGTCAAACTGAATGAAAGGTCTATACAGCTATGAAAGGAGTGAATAAAATTGCGAGCACAACTGGTAAACAGAACGAAGCTTACGGTTCTTTTGTGAAAGCTGGTGTTGTTGATACTGTTGGGAAACGGGAGGCGAAGTGTTGCCAGCCAGATGGATGGTTCCATCGGATCGGCTGCCGGTAGACTTTGGTCGAGCTACTGCCTCTGCAGATTTTGTGGCTAAGTGGGTCCCAGAAAGTGAGTGTCCCAGAGGAATATCTGAAGACTGGATGTGTAAGGAGCGGGTATCCGATTCAACCACATTCGATAGACTTGAACGCGGGCTGAAGATAGACATAAAAGAGGCGAAGAAATATTTTGAACACAAGGCTGGTTCAGAACATGACCGAACAGAAACTGCTAACCTCGTGGACAAGAATAGAGGTTACAGTTGCGGCCAAATAGTATCTAACTGAATTCTAATAGACACTTGTTCTGGCAGTTTCAACCATAAAAAGCTTACGGTGGCAGATACAAAAATTGAAAACTAGCGAACACAATGAATGAAAAAGTTCAACAAAAAATAAGAAGGAAAATAACTTGGCTTCCACGAGAGACTCTTATATATGATACTCTTCAACCGAATATGCTACGCAAAGGCCGCCTCATGTTTCAGTTGGTACGATATTCGAGATACCCCGGTATATTTTCGTAAAGGTAACCACTCACAAGGTTGCGCAGCACATTCAGTTGAAGAAAATCGTACACGAGAGATTCAGCTGAGTCTCTTATGAAAACCAAATTGCTATGCAAATGAATGTACTTGTTGAAACTGCTGCACCACTGATATAGACGAACTAGGTGAATATGGTCGAAATAGCCACGTACAGAGGACCTTTTTGACCGGGTGAAACCTGCTATGAGGCAGAGTCATTACGTTTCTCAAAAACATGATTCACACTGCTAAAGTTTTATGTAGTATGAGTCCATTGATTCCCACTCTACGCATCACCACTCTTGAACAGTGCGAAAATGGACTAAGTCGCCAGTCCAAGGCCATGTAACCCTTTGGCAACAATCAAACTCCTTTTTTTGATATGCGTATGATGACGTCAGTACCGAAATGGGAAATACCGGAAGAGGGAAGTGCGCAGACCAAAACAAGTTGGGACGATGAATCCACATCAGTAGGGTAGAACCCAGCCTGGAATAAGGAGAAAAAGTCCCAAGATTCAAAACTCAAAACCACTTAGCTGACAACCATCGTTATCCCTTGAAAACAATGAGCAGATAGAACATATTTGGAACCGGAAAAAGAGCAACGACAAATAGGTTCGAGAGCGGTAGACAGGGAAAAACAAACCAACAAACGCCGAAAATACCGAGTTCACATTTCCAATGTCTGCCCTGATATTACCTATTCGAATTCCGTTTTCAAACACTTGGTCGTGACGATAATGCAGAAGCTAGCCGACAGTATCGTGTGCGCGACAAAGTGGCTATGAATAGGAATCCCTACACCAGCATTCAAGCTTCCTGCGGAGACGTGCCACAGATATCAACCACGGTCTATGGAGGACAGCGTTATTTTCTACCTAAATATCTCGCTTGCAAAGATTTTGTAACACTGCAACAAAAAACCGGGGCCCAAACAAACGAGCGACATACTGCGAGACCTTCGCTAGTTCCTGTTTGGAATTCATGAGTTCCTCTTTGTGTGCAATAAAAATCTCAGTACATAACCTATACGTAAAGGTAACCACTCACAAGGTTGCGCAGCACATTCAGTTGAAGAAAATCGTACACGAGAGATTCAGCTGAGTCTCTTATGAAAACCAAATTGCTATGCAAATGAATGTACTTGTTGAAACTGCTGCACCACTGATATAGACGAACTAGGTGAATATGGTCGAAATAGCCACGTACAGAGGACCTTTTTGACCGGGTGAAACCTGCTATGAGGCAGAGTCATTACGTTTCTCAAAAACATGATTCACACTGCTAAAGTTTTATGTAGTATGAGTCCATTGATTCCCACTCTACGCATCACCACTCTTGAACAGTGCGAAAATGGACTAAGTCGCCAGTCCAAGGCCATGTAACCCTTTGGCAACAATCAAACTCCTTTTTTTGATATGCGTATGATGACGTCAGTACCGAAATGGGAAATACCGGAAGAGGGAAGTGCGCAGACCAAAACAAGTTGGGACGATGAATCCACATCAGTAGGGTAGAACCCAGCCTGGAATAAGGAGAAAAAGTCCCAAGATTCAAAACTCAAAACCACTTAGCTGACAACCATCGTTATCCCTTGAAAACAATGAGCAGATAGAACATATTTGGAACCGGAAAAAGAGCAACGACAAATAGGTTCGAGAGCGGTAGACAGGGAAAAACAAACCAACAAACGCCGAAAATACCGAGTTCACATTTCCAATGTCTGCCCTGATATTACCTATTCGAATTCCGTTTTCAAACACTTGGTCGTGACGATAATGCAGAAGCTAGCCGACAGTATCGTGTGCGCGACAAAGTGGCTATGAATAGGAATCCCTACACCAGCATTCAAGCTTCCTGCGGAGACGTGCCACAGATATCAACCACGGTCTATGGAGGACAGCGTTATTTTCTACCTAAATATCTCGCTTGCAAAGATTTTGTAACACTGCAACAAAAAACCGGGGCCCAAACAAACGAGCGACATACTGCGAGACCTTCGCTAGTTCCTGTTTGGAATTCATGAGTTCCTCTTTGTGTGCAATAAAAATCTCAGTACATAACCTATACCAACGGCACGCACACTGTGATTCCCGAACGCAATCTCATTCTTTAGGCACGCGTTTAGTAGGGTTCACGCAAACCGCAGAGTCAATGCAGATGGGTTCGTCTTACTCCGATATAACACACAGAGGTGTTTCTTTGTGTATTGTTCAAAGTGATCATAGCTTACTTTTGACTGCGCTATTCAGGGATATCATGCTTTCTGGCTCTCAATTCCTATCACCGCCGTCCCTTTCTTTCCTCATTGCTCTGTGACAGCTAATCACCGCTCTGTATGACTGCTCTGCTTCGACTAACACATAGTACATTGTTTATTGATACCAGCATAGAATGCATAAACACTAAGAAAATCAACCATTAAATTCGAGTCCAGGAAACAAAAGGGTAGCTTATGTGATGAAGAAGGCAACTTGGATATTTTTTGGAATGCACGGCTCTGGATATGAACCTGAATTTGACAGGAGAGTTTAACCGGCATTCGGGTAGTTTAGAGGTCCCCTGTACGAACGTCTGCGTTGCAGAAGTCACACCACTCAAAATTCCCACCAGTTTTCTGAAACATCCTGGGGGTTATTAGTTTCACAGTATATCTTCCAGGGGAAAATCGCCCCTCAAAAATGAGGAGTGATCGCTCGAGGGACAAAAAAAAACCCAACATTCGGTTGAAGGGTGTTTGCTGTGGACTCTTCAGTGGAATAGTGTGTCTCATGCGGATTCATGTAAAATGTTCAATGATGAACCAAATATATGGTGTAATGGGATACTAGAACGAGCAGAACATTCTAGAGAAAAGAACAACCAGGCAATCTCTGTATACTTAAAATCACGACGCTTTTGCGTGTGATTTACTGATCGTTTCTCCGCGAAAAAATAGGCAAATGAGTTATGAAAACCCTCCTAACCGGTTGTTATTCGGTGGGATTGTTAGCCGAACAATGTCAGCATTTCCATTCCATGTGACAGAGAAACTCAGTGTGTGTTGTTGACCACTACGATTGAGTTTTTAAGGATGACATACGAGCGTTGCACCGGGCTGGAATATGATATGCCCTGAAGAGAGTGTAAGGGAGCAATCCTATCCAGTAAATAACCGAGATAAATTTGTCAGGGTGGGCAACATAACTATCGAAAATGGCACTAAATGATTGGACTGAGAACAGTCAGTTCTGCAAATCGGACTCACGTGCGCAACGGAATATGGATATTTGAGTAGATAACAACTCCATACGGATCATCATGAGAACATTCGTGAGCGCCCAAATTACTCCCCATGTAGGGAGGAGATTGAAGACCGGCTAGAATCAAACTAGAGCCCGATCCAAACCACGTGCGGTCACGTAAATCATTACTGAGTGAAATAGAAAGTGGGTCAGATAAACTTGTGGTACGATTTCTGGACTGTAAATGAGCAACTGGTCCAGGCGCTGGAGATTGCCTACAATCCCCGGCTGAAGCCGGCCGCTTAGTAACGAACTCCATCGTCGTGGGAGAAATGGGCGGAGAAACAGCTTCAGTTTCTGGCCAGTAAATTCCAGTGCTCTCAATATCCTTGTCAACAATTTCGCTTGCATTTGAATCATACGGGCTCAATGTCACGGTGCGATTGATTGGAAACTTAAAGGTCTCATATTCCCTGTGTGGCGAATAATCCGTAGCTTGTTCAGATGGCGCACATTCGTTGCTTAGTTCTTCTTCTTCCTCTGGGATACACGGTGGAGGACTTGGACCACGATTATATAGCCATTGGGATATAGAACTATGGCTACCGAACCTTCGATGCATCTGGGTAAAGGGTAAACCGTGTTTCTGGATATTAAAGATCCGCTGGGTTCCTTTGGTTGAATTTCCAGTCGCTGGCAAGAAATTCACCCGGATGGTTGACAGTGGATTTGAGCGGGCACATGGATTAAAAGCTTTGTACCGCCTGATCGGTTGTACAAATCGTACCGGTTCCGAAGGTAAGGAGGAGGCCGGTAGATGATGTGTCATAGGTCCATATTGTCGTCGTGCGGCCGACGTCATGGGTACGAAGCAGTCAGTGATGGCGATGATTATCCTATCCAAGTATGTGGGTGAATTCGATGCGCTTAGCAGCACGCAGATGCACCCTATCGCACGAGAGGTAATGTGACTTGAACAGCGCTGGTTCGCTTATAACTGCCAGAACACTAGCTACAGCAACACGCGCGCACGCATGCACACAAACCCACGTGACTTTGTGACTCAATCCACTGTGAGCCCCAGGCTCATGTGAATAGTCAAGCTGGCTTTGACCCGCGATCACACTGAGCAAAAAACAATCAAGCATGCGGAATGAAACACTTACGGGCAGTCTGAGACACAGCGATAAAGATGCACATACGCATACGCGCAGTCACCAAGTGCATATGCGCAGGTACACAAAATTGATTTAAAAACATATTAGATATACTTTTTTCTCACAAGTATGTGGGCCAGGTGAATCAATGGTATTCGACCAACCTGGCTCCTTATTTATTTACCGGCTAAGAATCCAAATTAGGAGAAAAGGGGAAAGGAATGAATGTAGCCGGTACACCACGTGCAGACACGTGTATAAAAAGCACTAAGTTTCTTGAGCACGAGGGTGGGTGAAAACTATTCACGTCACATTAATCAAATTTGTTATGAAGTGGGACGATAAATCGATGGCTTACAGTGAACTTTTCATTAACCATTTTTCGCCTAGATTTTTTTCGATCGTACTTGAAAATAGCTTTCAAATTCCCGATACCAATAGGAAAGACAGACACGTTATTTAGTCGTATCGACCAGTTCAAGCACTTCAGGAAAACATCGTCACAGTGAAGTGACTTTGGAGTCCCTGAAAGCACTATCTACTGCACAGAGGCAGGGAGAGAAAGCGGAATATCTATTACGGCAAACACTCCACTTTGGCAAATGACCATTGTTGAAAGGAGGAAACTTGACACTTCAGGATGATAGAGTGTCAATCAGTTTCTGATGGCCATGGCAGCTTTCTTCTGGAAAAAGGGTGACCCGTGACAAAGTAGAACGTGGTGTTAATATCGAGTGCTATACGAGTAAGAAGATCATACCAACGGGACCCTATCATTATTATTCATTCTGAGCGTCAAAGTTCATGGAACGTCCTGGTGGTCAGATGGTCGATAAGCTAGCGTCGGCTTCACATATTCGAGTAGTAGCTGTTTTGTTCTCATTTAGTATCTGATTAAGAAACCCTTCTTTAGACGCCCCTCCACGGAGTACACGCAGTCAAAGTTCTCTGTGGTGTTGAAGTCTATAGCAGAGACGAACTGATACAACTGGTGTGACGTTTGGGTGCGTAGCTGACAATCACGCATGAGGATTAAAGTCGAATCGAATCGTTCAGCTGTAACACTCTTTCGGTGCCATGCTACCAGAAGGAAGCACGAGGGCTGGGATACTGCCAGGATGCCCAAGCCTAGACAGGGGAAGTCGAGAGGCAGAGGTTCGAACGACAGACCTTCCGGTGAGTAAATTCGCGCTCTAACCACTGACTGTCTAGCCCCGAAAGATTAAAGTGCTGACAAGTGTAAAGGAGATCGGTCAATTTTCGGGACAGCAGGTTGAATAGCGTCAAAACCGGATAACTGCAAAGTACAGTGACGTGCTATACATTTTTCATCATTGTTCTATAAGTGATGAGTGAAAAAGCCATTTTGCACTGATGACGCCACCTCCATGCGTGACACGACGCTCGCAAACAACCCAACCGACAATATTTGTTTCTATTTTTGCAGTTGTACTGCAGACCTTAAGAGCTTCTTTAGGTGTGTTGAGAGGCAGTCCGATGTCTATCACACACACACACACACACACACACGCACGAAATGCATTGAAAAACTCTGTGTTTGACGATCACTGCATCCGAAGCAGTGACCAGGTCTGCTCGTAACATCGGATTAGCAATGCTGAGGTGGGTAAGATGGTTTTGAGAAGGAATTCTCTCACGACAGACGAATTACTTAAGCTTCATTGGTTACGTCGTTTAGGAAAGGTACTAGAAGGAGGTGAACCTTAGAACACATTTTGCCCAGCTCTGTGACCAGCGAATACGACCATGAGGCAGAGTGTAATATGAAAACCCTAATCACTAAACTAGGTGGGGCTAACAACTGCCACCTCCATGGACGCGGACCGTGGACCTCAACTCATCAACGGTTGATGACACCGACAGACAATGTTCAATCATGTAGTCAGTGGCACTTCGCCATAAAAGCTATCGTTTTCAATGCGTGGTCACCAGTTTTCCAGTTTCTTCGGACTACCAGAATGGCTATACAATAAGGGATTAGGCTATCGCCAAATGGTCCTTGCTGTCCCCTTGTCGGTAACCGAACTTGCAACAGCTCCAACTGCCTATCATGGGACGTTACTGTAATTATGAACGATGTCCATGGTTCACATGCATTCTCAGAGGCGTTTCCATTACATCAAACTCTTATTAGCCTCGTGAATACGTTTCACGGAGTTGCGCTCTATATAGGACTTGACTTCACTGGAAGCAAACCTAATTTACAAGAAGGATCGACAGAGCTGACAATTTTCGCCTACTTACGCCGGAACGCAAACTACCTGTGACGACAACGTGCAGCTTCATGCTCCTCAGGAACATCTGTTATACGACAAGATTCTGAAAACGGGGTGACTGTAAACGTGAAAATCGACAATTACTCTGAAAGGTACTTTCTTCCAATCGTGTTCAGAGGTATCGATTCATCCGCTGCAAGCCAAAAACGGATCAATGTGTTGGCAGGTGTGAACGAAGGGAATCTCCAACGACGCTAAGGCGGACAGTCAGCGCTGGACCGAACCTATGCGGATGGGCATTCGTACACAAGGAGCTAGACAGTCAAACAAGCTATCACTACTGCATCGGAAACCGTAACCTGAGACATCAAGCAACGCGGTAAAAACCAGGCGAGATAGGGCCGAATTAGGGCAAGCAAGTAGTTCCTAGTCGATAAGACATGCTTAAATGGGTGTACAACGGTGCTAACTGAATCAGTTAGTAAGAACCCTCTAAGAGCTTTTAACATCTTATGTTACCACAGAGATAGGGGTTTTGGGTAGAATTCCACCCTCAGCGGATGCCACCGCTGTCCTTTCGGAAAACCATTCCACTGATGAAGCCAGATCGTACGCCGTGTAGCAACTAGTGTGAGCCAAATCGTTTATATAACTGCATTACCGTTACCTTAAGCAGTCAAGCTCTGATTAGATCCCTACATCCTCCTTAGGATTCAGCAAACGCTACCCTCCACGGGAACGGGGACTGCTGTGTCCCACGAAGCTGCGGCGGACCAGCTACCTAAGGGAAATTCAAATAAATAGAGATACAAACAAAAAACACATAAACCTTGCCTTAAACTGATAAAGGCTGAGCACCGGAAAACAAATAGCGACCGAAGTGTTGTGAGAAGTTCGGACCGTAGCAATCTCCAAGGTTTCGTACAGCTTTCTGGCGGGCTGATTTGTAACAGTTACCTCGTTACGAGCAGAGTTTTAACTGAAGATAGCGTTCTAGTTATAAAGCTCTTGAATGACCCGAAAATTCAGTTGATCAAATGTTGCACAGTCACCACTGAAGTTATGGAGTAAAGTGGATTAAACCACTTACGTATCCAGTGTGCGACCCTGTAGCTACTGTTGACTTGATTAATTCGGTACGGATTAGATGAACGGCAAACAAACAACTGATGTTTGACCCACTTTACACAATAATCGAGACAAACTACGCAAATTACTGCCACGGACAGTGAAAAACACGAGAAAAGTTTACCATAGCTTACCGTAGGCGGTTTTCCGTACAAGAATAGGGTCGCAAGCCCAGCGGAAAATTTTTTCCTTTAACTAAAGGTATCCGCACCATCATACCAAGTGACCAACTAAGAAAGCCACAATGCACAACTAATGGGTTGCTTCTATCGTAAGATAACAATCGTCCGCAGAGCAGTTGTTCTGGTGCCACTTATGTGTCAAGCACTGACGACAGTAGGAACCAGACATTGACAAAAATTAAGGAACGTAACCAGAGGCCCCGTATCTCAGAGTACATCTGTGCACAGTGCAAACTTATGCTTCTGTATGTTCTGTCAGCAGACCGATTTTCGTTTGTAACAGGTTTTCTTATTGAACGAAACGGTAGAAATGAACGGATGTCATCGTCAGAAGTCTCGTGTAAGAACATCATTGGAAACCACATTTCACAACATAGCGGAGTTTTCTTCATTGATATCCTCTTTTCCTCACAAAGCATTATTAGAGCTCACGGAATAAAGACTAGTAGCTTGGAGTGGTGGACCACCTATGGCTGAACGGTGGCAGCGTCCCGGACGACAGCGTGAGTTGTCACACAACTAAGTCAGCTTTGTGTAAGTCGTCTGTACCCCAAAGAAATTTCTCAGGCTAACGGGGGCTGACAGGCAGATCGGACTCGGATGCCTGACAACCACATACAAATTTTCAATCCCCTACCAACTGGGACGACATGTCCTTTCCGCCATGTCGGCGACTCCCAAACGTTAAGGCAAAGATGCAGAGCGGCATGTCGGCGTAGGAAACAACAAAAAACAAAACGAAGCGATGAAGTACCACCCAAAACGCTCGTTCTACATGGATTGTAATTGAATCTGGTCAACCGAGATGGTGCGGTGACACAAGGCTCTAGCAGACCATAACTGCGTTAGCGTTGAACACAAATATGACTCTAAACGGCTGGTGGCAGACGAACAAATGGTGGCTAGAAACAGCCGCACCGTTTGGTAGTACAATCTCTATCTGCGCTAGGCTGACAGAAGACGACAATACAAAACTACGCTGACAAGCAGCCAGACGCGAGATGTGAGGGGGGAGTGAGAAGGAAAAACAGAATGAATGAACAGCTGTTTGTTGATTCATAGGGCGGAAGTGAACACACGGAACATTAAGTTGAAAAGTGGTCACTGAAGAGGGCGGAATGCACAGAATTTGGAGAAAGACACGTTAGTTTGTCCTGAGAAGGTCGAAAGGTTGCATTTTCGGGTAATACAAATGGTTCGACCTAACAGAAAATCTGCTGTGCATGCTTTACGAAATGTCCGCTTGGATCTCATAAAAGCAACAACAACCGAGTCTCCACCACAGGTAAACCAGAAAGAATAAAGCATGAAATACATCGATGAGTGAAAAAACACTTCTCAGTATTTCATCACTTTGTCTGCGAAGACATAGACTCAAATACACGAAAATTTACCTCAGCAATTTGGCTACTAATTAACGGTAGTCAGCAGTCATACATTAATCAACGTGGAGAATGACACAGTAAAGAGTACAGTGAAGGAGTTAAAAACGCGAGATGAATTCAAATTGCATAAAACCAAGCACGACAAGGATTGTGGCTAACAAACGACGGTTTATTGGCGCAGTGACTTGGATTTCCTAACACCGAAAAGATCGATCAATCGTCAATGATACACATATATGTGGACCAAATTGAACCTTATTGGAAGCCCGATTAAATCTAACTGAAAAATTGCGAAGAACAGCTTCCATCAACTTGGAGCCGATTCCTAAGCAAGATATTTTTCGTGAACAGGAGGAAAACCAACATCGGATTCGAACCTTAGTGTGAAATACGTTCGTAAAAAATATTGAAATCTATTACTGAACCAGATAGTGTACAAAGCAGGATGAGAAAGTAGCTGGGTTTGAAAAAGCTGCGAGGGACTAGATGCCTGTGAAAACATAGAATGCTTGATTTATCTGTCAAAATGCCGACTGAAATCTATACCACCGAAGCATACACTATCTAAACGATGTCCATTGCATTATTACCCAGAACATTGTCTACATGAATCACCAACCATTTGAATGAAGCTGCTGACGAAAGCGTTCGTGTGCTTGAAAACAAAGCGGGTTCTGTGAGATCGGATTTGTTCCGTTATCGCTAGATGGAAAACGTTCAAGTGTGAGCAGTCAATGCCGGAGGCCGCATTAAGTCCTCTGTGTTGGACATGTAAGACCATGTTCCGGGAGTCGTATCGGGGAAGAGATGCAGGAAGGGATGCGTGGATGCTATTCCGAGACATGGAAACGTTAGCCTTCCGTTTACTGCGATTCCAACATCAGGGATACCTAAGGTTTCAGTGAATTCCTTATAATTATCTACAAACTTTGCAACAGCTTTCATATTTCAACATTTTCGGGACAACCATCGACTTGATATCTCCCATATTCTACCCATTCTTCAAGCCCATCTCACGCAGCACCTATTATTTTCGGTGTACAATAATCTCACAAGATAGAAACCTAGGGGAAAACAACTATCAGACTTCAACAAGGCAGGGAATCATCGTTCGCTAAATCGTGTAAAACAGGACGCTGTTGTGTACCTTGCGGCACAGTGGCTTAGAGGGATCGCTGTTGAGGAGATTGGCATACGACTTTCTAGCTCGTTACACGAGCGGACTACACTGGCTTTAGTATTCACATTGCGATATGTTTAGTACGACGAACAAGACAATAAACAAGCAAGTGATACGCCGGTATACGGTACTCGTATACTCGTCATGGGTCTGGTCTATCCTGGACAAGCCATACGCATGACCATCCCACGTCCATACTATCGTTTTCCACGTACGAGTGCATGATTTGATTTGAAGTAATGACGAGGGCATAGCACCATATGTCAGAAATCAGCCACAGGGGGGGATTTTTCCTTCCTGGATGAAGTCATGGAGAGATTGATTGTTGTCGGTTGAAGAAACATCAATTAAATGATGGTAGGAAACTTACATACCTTCACACATTGAGGCCATCCAAGTAACCCACAAGACATAAAATTAAGGGAGAAAACAACGCACCCGAAACATATGTGAAGCTGTGTCTTGCCTTTTTTGTCCCTTCACTATACGTTATTTTTTTGTTATCATCATCCCTCACGTGAGATCACTTCACTGAAATTCCGTGAAATACGACTTGAATTTGACTTCCTTTGATATGCCATCCCCAACTTTCAACTAAGACTACTCTAGTTGTTTACTAGGAGCAATTTCCCCTTCAAAAAGCTCATGATGCGAAATGCGTGCCTTTGGATCTTCTATATGAAGACATCAGGTAGACAGCTTAGTAACCACAATATACAAACATTCGTTTCCAAAGTAACTGATGTTTCCAAATACGAATTTCAGCGACACAAACCTTGGACCTATAGTAATCCATAAAAAAGGACCTCCAAAGACGGTTACTCTGTTAAAGAGAGCACATTAGCATTTATCGTCATTCAAGATTGAGTGAATGGATCGAAGCCTTATTTGGTAGTCTACAGGAATGTGGAAACCCGACAATGGGCATACCAATAAAAAATCTGACCTAAAATAGGGGACGGGAAAAAATTCGAATATAAGCAGCCTAATACCTCCATCCCATTCACAAGAAAATTTCTGAGTGCTCGCATAGTCCGGTGGTTTAAAAACTTTTCAGGTCACCGTTCGTTAGTGCACAGTGTATGGCAGCATCAGCCCATGAATATGCACATAGCATGTGAATAGCAAGATGAGGATTGTCAGGAAACATCTGCATATATATATATATATATATATATATATANAGCACAGGAACACATCAGTAATACATACGACGCTTTTTATTTCTATTTTGGGTTGATGCTGACATACATTTTAACCATTCAAAAATCAGAATTTTGAAATTTACATACATCCAGATACCAGAATACGTCATCTGGGATAAAGGAAGACAGCTTTCCTGTCCAACAAACTTACCAACGTACGATACGGAAGAATGTTTTCTCGAGTACCAGAGTGCCCTGACAGATGAGTGCTTGACTGCAAGTGAGCAGACGTGTTTGGATGGTCCACTACGACAATAAGGGGACCAAAATGAACGTCGTCGGACTCAGGTGTTGTCAACTCATTACGAATCGGATCAATTAATCTTGATAGCTCCCACCGTACTGGTACGCCGTGCAACTATGAAAACCTGATCAAAGCCTACCCCGGGTAAACAAACTAGCGTGAACCACGGAGAACACGAATGTAATCAGTGAAACGCTTAGCGATGCCGCCCGACTCATAAGTTACGAATGAGAGATACCCCAAGGGGAGAAAATGAAGCGTGATGTTTCGACGGTGAGGCCGAGATGGAAACGGCAGTCGCTTCTAGAAACTCAAGGAAACTGTTTTAACTCACCAGTCAAGCGGAAGGAAAGGTCGAAAACAGTTCAACGAAACAATGAAGAAATCAGTGAACCCATAACCAGTCTGGACGTTGAGCATGACAGTTCGGTCAAAATTCTACTGGCCGCATATACCCCCGCCAAAACCCAACCAAACGCACGTCTGCTGTGGACCGTCAACCTAAATCCGCTCACCGTATCTGAAGTCTACTCTCTCTCTGCTGCTGCTTTGTTGGAGAAATAACTGCTGATTGAGATACTGTTGTCGCTTTGGTGGTATCAGACTCATCAACTTTTTGACATCCATTATACTCCACCGGTAACTAGCTATAATCCCGACAGTACACAATCCTGGCGGTGAGTGCCCCCGTACAACAAGCTACCTCAACCATAGACTCTTCACGGGAGTGTAAAGTGACGGCACTAGACTGGTTAGCAAACGCATCCACTTCTTTCCACGGAGCAACACTGAAGATCGTTAGGAAATATGTATAGCTAGAAAGCTGACTCAGTACCAGTGGTCCTAAGAGCTGGATGCTGTGTTTGAACCCCGGTCATCCATGGTATCCGCAGGATATCAAATTGTCGCTGAAAGGACGAGTATACAACGCTTCCGTCTCTCTCGTGTTCGTTTATAAATGAGAAACGTGGGTCCTTCGAGTATCAGATAATAAAAATCTCATCATCATCGTCCGCTGCAAAAACCGCGTACTTACCGTACGGCGGTGCTAGCTGCCACAGTTTTGTTCACCGATGATTTCCGGAGGTGGGATAGATAGCTGCGCATTAGAACTGTTAGCCGACATAATTAATGCGTAAATACAGGGTCTTCAGTAGATTTTTAGATGGGGGGATAGAGAAGTGAGCTATGCACTGAAGACAATAAGCTTGGATGAACCACCACCATTGAGGGAACGACTGACAATGTCGTTTACCATTGATGTGACCCGTCTCAGGGTCCCCACCAAGGGAGGCGGCAATGACCAGCCCAGCTGAGTTTTCTGGTGATGGCTTTCGCGCTTCGCTGTTAATTTGTTATTCGATCACCCCTGGCTCGTTCCCACCATCCACGTGATTGTGAGAAAAGCACCCTTTGAGGAAGTCGGTCGGTCGGCCGGAATACGTAGCAGCCAGCGTAGTCTATGGAGTATGATCAGTTCATCTATCGTGGGCGAGTTATTTCTAACGAAAACCATCCGTTGTACTTTAGCACTGCTGATCCAATGTTCCCACCAGACCCGGGGAATGCTCCAAAGACATCGATGGACAAAAACCGAAAGACTTTTGACGTCCTCGGCGCGCAGCGATCAGGTTTCTGACCCGTATAATGGTATGGAGCACACCGCAGTATTGTACACTTGACCCTTGAGGGATAAGTTGATGCCACGACAACGCCACAGGTGATATAGGACGGAAATATCATCTTTCGCGAGAACACCGAAAATGATAATAGTTTGACTTCTCGTGCCTACTAAACATGTACGGTAAGAGCAACATGTGGACAACTAGGAAGTTCGTCAAGCAGTATCCGGTGAGAGAAAACACTCGTGTCCCACAAGCGTAATATTGATGAGATGGGCGGGGAACGCCTTAAAGAAGGTAAGTCTCGAGGAGCCTCGTTTAGTCAACAAATAATACGGCGAAAATGCTTCAAAGAATTGACCGCCGGATTAATCTTTGTTGGATCGTCATGATAGTCCGCATGAGAAACTAAGCAAGGTGATCATGAATAGCTGAATATATTTTCTGAAAAGATCCAGAATCATAACCAGCAGCGCACACATAACTGGTAACAAGGAACCAGTGCACTTCAAATTTCATTATCATCCCTTTCTTCGTTCCCACGTATAGCGGCTGTGTTGTTGTATGGGTGCGAGACATGGCCTCTTCGGGTAGATGATGTGAGGCGTCACAAGGTTTTCGACCACCGATGCCTCAGAAGCGTGGCTGGTTTCGGATGGCGTCAGCGTATCAGTAACGAGGCGATTAGAAAACGGGCATTTGGTTGTGCTGCAGACACCTCAATCCGAGAAAACATCCAGCATCATTGACTACGATGGCTCGGTCATGTGCTACGCATGCC